CCTCCCCCTTTTTGAATCAAGCCCCTTTGGCGTTTGAACCTTGTATCCACAAAAGTTGTCATATCCAAAGCCGATTCTTTTACAGTCGTCAAGGAATTATCCATGAAATCCCTCTTTTCTTTATTGTTTTCCCTGTTAAAATTTTAATTTTTACATTTCAATTGAGTTTTCATTTAGTCCAGTTTTTCATCATCAAAATAGATTAAGAGCAACTGGGTGAGAAAGGCAACAGTAAGCAAGGAGCGAGAGAACAAATGAAACTTCTCGAACAATTAATGCCGCAGTCATATCAACTAAATAGTTTGGAATAGTTCAAACAGTNTGCATAATTAATGTATGGGGTTATATGGTACTCTTGCCGCGTATAGAGAGTATTTTGATGCCTTTATTTATGTTTAATTGACATGAACTGCTTTGAACTCCCAGTTAAAAACCACAGTGAAGTACTTACACGTTTAGCTTCCTCTCAGTTACATCCCTCCGTGCATTCCACATTTCAGCTCTCAAAACCTCTCTTCCAACCTCGGTTTTCATTTCCTTAGCACGACTCTGCAAATCCAATGAATGCACGGAAACGAAAGGCCTCTTAAGAAAGGACTGTTGAAAAAAAGTGCAGAATGATCATGCTTAACTTTCTCCCTAAGTCATGTATCGGTAGATTTAATGCTTTCATCGTTAAAGCTCATCACCCATCTCTATCTTTTAAGCTCTTCTGTAACGAGACCAACACGAGTCAAACTAAAAACAACAACTTTAATCGTGTAAGAACAACGGCACTTTGATTCAGCACGTTTTCGTAGCTTGCCCGCGGCTCCCCATGCGCCCAGTGTCGCTGGTATGTTACATAATCAATCGTACACGTGCAAGATAAAAGACACGTGCCGAGACACGCGTAGACCAGTGTAACGCAACATCTCTACTCTTCTGCCTTTTTGTTTTTTTTTTCATATGGAAAGCAGTTTACATGATTACTACAAATGCTAACTTCTCGCTTTTCTGGAATTTTGTGGCGCATTTTCCATGTTTTCATTGTAACATGCTCACGACATCCGTCCCCCATTAGTTTCAGCAACAAGACAAACACTCGATCGCATAAACGTTGACACTTAAAAAAGCGTTTACAATAAATCGAACGATGAGATCCTACGGCACTCTGAGCACACATACATGATAACCACCATTGGCACGGGGTGAATGATGGAAGCTATCCACGCTTACCTCTGGGATGAAAAGGATAATCCTTACAAAAGGTTATTTCACGACTAATAAGAAAGTGAATCACTGATTATGCATCTGCACGAGCATTTCCCATAAAGTCGTTTGGTCTCATCATTCGTTGTTCATGCCTTTTAGGTGTCAAAGCTTTTGCAATTGGTGTCTATTGAAGTCATGTTTGACTTTGCCTCTCACCAACAAGTTCGCAGTCCATGGGATTCCTGCGAAAGTCATGAACCAAAAATGAAAAAAGATTCAGAGTAGGGAGTGGGACATTCATTTGTCGTTTTTGTTGCTTGTTGTTATACACGTTTTAAGCTGTATTCTTCATTGAAAATAAGAGCACTGAGTCGAAGCTCTTACCATAGCTCCGTGAAAACTCTAGTAGTCCATATACTTACTTGTAAGGTAACTCGAGAAGCCCAGAGCTCAAAGGCATGAGGCAATTTTGCTAAACTGTGAACGAGAGGAGAAACACAACTTTTAAGAGAATTTTAATGAAGTTCTCTACAGTAATTTACAAAAGATTTGATAGAATCAACATTTGGGAAGATATTGCAAGGAAAGTCGAAATACAAGAATTAAACGCATCGACTTAAGACAACCACCTTTGGAAATTCTGCAAATGATTCTTTGAAGAGACGTGTTTGGACGAGACCTTTGAAGAACAGAGGATTATCACACGAATTTCTCTCTCACCTCGTCTAACGTTATTGGTATTCTGCAACAGCACACCGGTATCTTCATATTTGGGCTGCTTAACCAGAATTAGGGAAACAGTCGTCTTAAAAATACTTTCAGAGGTAGTCGTGAGGGCAGCACCGGCAGAATGCGCTGTGTTTCTATTTGAAGAAGAAAAATACCGTAGTGTCACACTGACCCAAGGTGTGAGACATGAAACATGACAGAATAAATTATAACCTGGCCCTTAATTTGCTCCCTGTATAAATCAATCACAACAAGTTCCGAAGGTTTCATATTTGCCCCAATGGTTTTTTGGTGTGATTACATTTAAAAGTGAAGGGAGGAAAAGCAAGTGTTTGAAGAAATATTTCACTAAGTATTTTTATGTTTGAAAAAGGTTTGTAGCTGCCTACCGGACCACTCCTAGAAATTGAATATAATATGACGGGCTAAACCGTTGCTATGGTAACTTAACAGTCAGATGGATTGATGTAACAAGTAGAGTGGTGACGAGGCATTTCCTTCACAGTGGTGAAACAGCCAAAAAATATTTATGATATGATAAATTTAACAAACGAGGGAAAGATTTCTGTATAACCCCATATCAATCAAAAACAAATCCGAAGTCCCGAAGGTAATCTGTTGTTTTGCTTCTGTTTTCTCATATCCAAGAATTGTATGCATAATAAAGTATGGGGTTATACGGAAATCTTGCCTTTATTCATTTGTGAGTGAGCAGTTTTCATTCATTTTTGACTGGGTTAGTTTCGAGTTGCAAACATTTACTAAATCCAGGTAAAATCATTCAAAACAGATGAATAGCGTAGATAGCTAACTTGTTATTAGAGCCAATGGTCTAACCTTGTTAGGAGTTGTCAGGTATTTCTTTCCTTCCTTAACTTTCTTAATTTCAAGGTGTTCTCATTTTTTTTTCTCGGTACTGTCCTACGAAAAAAAAAAAGAAGGAGATAAATACATCATAAATACGTACATACCTGACTGCTTTTCATTCTAAATAATAAATGTCAACGACTGGATCGAAAGACTTATCTTAAGCCATTACATTTTCTGCTGATGAGTCGTATTGAACAAAGCATTCGGAAATTTGTTTTTGATAACAATGCTTGATGTTTTTTAGAGGGAAAAAGAAAATACAACAAAAACCATTAATGCTTATTTCAAGTGTGCTCTTTAAAGAAATTGAAATCAGCACGTGTAAAGAGAGAGAAAACTTCGAGTGGTACCCTCATATGTGTTGTTGTTGGATGAAAGTAGACGACAGTCCCCCCRCCCCTTCAAAAAAAAATCTATCAGTGTAATGCAGTGAGTGATGCGTCTTTAGGGTTAACATAGGAAGAGCAAAAGAAAAAGATTACAGAGAAAGGCCTGTCTCTGTATAAACAAGAGAACAAGTGCATTTAAAACGCGCTTTATGTCATCGCACTAAAATCATGAAAGCTAGTGAAAAAATATTTTTAGTTATTAGAGAAAACTGGGTAAATAAGCGCTAAGTATACACCAACAATGACGTACGAATTTCTCGTGTTGGCATTAGAGTCCCGTGCACGGAACTGTCATGGCGGCTGTCGCTCAGGATTTGTTCTTGTTCTGTGCGTTATTCTCTTCCTTCTCACTTTAGACTTTGTGAATTGATTTCACTAGGGCCACGACAAGAAGGATAAATACTGTCTTACGTACTATTCAAAGCTAGCTTTCTATAGGTTTTTTACCTAGGCCTGGAGTAAAGTAGCGACAAACTGAAAACAATGAATCTTCGATATGGTACCTGAACCACTTGATTCAGCATAAGAAACACTCGCCGTCCTGAACAGAGCAGACAATATCCAAGGTATAAGGGTCGAAATAATGTGTTTCTTGACTCCAAAGAAGCCTAAAAGGACGCTCAAATTTCTCGTAGTTCGTAATCTTTTTTCACGTGAAGGATTGAGCGCAAATGTGAATAATACTTTTTGAAAATAATTGTAATTCAAATGAATTATCCGACTTCAAAAGGCACCGAGATGTTCGGTCTGATCCGTCCAATTATAAAATGAAGTAGTAGGCCTCGCTTTAGAGAGATTTTGAACTTGAGTGAAGAAGTTCAAAAGGGAGCTGGAACTAGTGCCACTATTTCCATCTCCCTTTTGAACTTCTTTATTAAGTTCGGTTTTAATTTTAGAAGTACCAACTTGCTTGAAAAGCATTTTTTCGTCTTGCAGAAGCACTACTTGATATTTAGGGTGCTTCAGAAACGTAAATTCGTACCCAGATCCTACCATGTAACTGAAATGATTGGCCGTGGAAGGTCTGGGTACGAAACTACCAGAATAGTAAACTTCTGAAATTCACATGAATGCAAATAGTTAAAATTCTTAAACCTAGATTGATTTACTGCAGCTATCTACGCTTTCTTTTGTATCAGAACGACATTGTACTGCAATGCAGACAGCTATTTATAACTTGTCACTTTCCTCGCGGAAGTAGGGCACACGAGGAAACGCCTGAGCGCGGCCCGGAAATACAGGAAGGTACCACCAATCTTAATGTAATCCGGTCGGGATGAAAAAGTTCAAAAAACGAAAAAAATTTTATTGGCGTCTTAATTTGGTCAGAATCACCAGGCACCGCAGGCAGCAGCGCTAAACGAGACTGTAATTGCCGTTTATTCTTCGAATTGATTCAAATTGATGAAAGGTGATAAAGTTGAAAGAGCCTACGAAAAAAATATGAAAATAGTCCTGTAATAATCATTTGAACGAAAGTGTTCCAAGGACCTCGGCTTAAGGCAAACGGAAGAAACCTTTCTAACTTGCCGAAAGGAAACATTGCAAATTCGAACATTCGCATCATTTGGTCCCATTGGAAAGTCTGCGCAAGTCAAAATAGGTTCTTAAGTTTAGCTATTGACTGTGGTGGTGGGCTGATGAATACCGTAACATTCACCTCTCCTAAAGAAGGATCTTGTTTACGCCCCAGCAAGTTGGCGCAACACAAAATAACCTTAGGTAACGCCAAATTTGTTCAACTTCCATTGAAGAAATCTTCTGCTCTGTTTGCCGGAAACAGTGAAAGAAGATGCACATCTGAAGCTTGGATTTTTTAATGGTAATTTCATTTATTTATTTATTAAGTACTTGATCGAAATTGAGCCACAAAGCTAGCCAGTTCCTCTGTTGACGGAACTGTTTTGTCTCTACACTGGACTTGGTTGCGATCATTCGTATTCTCAGTATCCTCAGCCGGCATTGTTGCTTTCCCATCCGATGCTTCTTTCGCAGACAGGAATACGTTAGCGCTTGAATTATTCGATGGATTGGAACTCTGAGTCGCTTGTGCGCTGGTGACGGGGCTTTTTCCCAATGTGGAAGGCGCCCGATAGGGTTGCCATGGTGTCATTCTGGGTTGCCAAGGAATTGGAGGCGGTGGAACGTTATAAGGAAAATTTGGTTGCCATGGTACCTGGTTTACTGGTGGCAGTGGCGGAGGTGGGATGCTAGGAGGGGAACGCCACTGACACCCAGACCACGACGGTTGAACAAATTCTTGTGGGGGAGGAGGGAGACGGGGAAAGTCTGGGGTGTATGGAGCAACCGGTTGAGTTTGAAGTGGTCGTTGTACTTGTTGTTGCTGTTCCGGTGATTTGAATTCTTTCTGTTCTTCATGATGAGAGATTTCACGAGTCTCATTCTCCCAATATCTTTCATTTTTGATTTCTTTCCCCTGATTAAACAGTCTTTGCGATTCTTTCCGAGTGTTTTTACTGTTCTGGGTTTTACTAGTTTCCTCGTAGTAAAAGGAAGGAGGTGCAAATTCCAAATCTCTTTCTGATCGTGGGTCTGTTCGTGTTGACGATCGAGGCTGATCCCATTGCTCTGTTGAAACGAGACGGAATAATTTAACTGACATGTGTGGATCAATATCAAGGGAGGGGTATGTGTGCAGTTACTTAGCCACTGAAATTGATCCGCATGTGTACTGAAAAGAGGATGGAGGATAGAGTTAGGAAAGAGAAGTAGAAAGAGAAGACTGGGAACAGGAAAGTACAGCAGAGAGCGAGTTCTGTCGGATTTCTTTGCCGCTGGCATGGGCAGTGAAAGAAGTCTGAAGGAGGGTCGAGAGGGAATAGAGGAGAAAAATAAAAAGAAAGTAAACGGCTAAAAGAAATTAAGCCATTAAGTATGGCAGTGCACGCCGAAATTGGTGGTAAAATCAACTGAAGGGATTATAAATGTCAGCAAACTTACTTATTTTGTGTCGTGCCCATTCGGGTAAATCCTCTTTTCTTAAAGGCCTTCGTGGCACATCGACATGTACCTCTTCCTTTTCACGTGATCCCTCCGCGACATTTTGTTCTGATGTTGTTGTTTCTCTCGTATCCTCCGCGTCTTTCTGTTCTTTCTCACTCCATTGCAATTGTCCATTCTTCTCAATTGATTCCTCGCTAAGTTCGCCGGAAGCTTTTAGTTTTTTCAGTTTTCTTTCTCTTACTTTGGCAAGACGAGCGTCCAGCGCAGCTTTTCGTTTGTCTTTTAATTTCTGAGTACGAACTCGCTGCTCCATCGTCTGATAAGACACAAAATAAACATTGAGTGAATCAAGAGAAAATCAATTGATTAAAGACTAATTTCCAATTTCTTTTCTTTTAATACTGTCTGTTTCCTTACCTGATCTCTCAGTTTATCTAACGTTTTCATCTGTTGTTGTCTTTCTTCTTCGTTTGTTGAAAACTGATAATATCCCACACCATGATTACGGATCTCTAATATCACCAAAAAAAAAAAAAAAAGACTATGAGAAGATTTTTAAAATTTGAGTTATTTTGTCAGTGTATGTCACGGACTAAATGGTTACGAGTGCATCATTTTCCATTAAAAAATTACAGTGAGTAACACACAGTGCTCGTCCAATCAATGTTTCATTAAGCTGGAAATTGATTTATGTCCAGATATTAAAGTTTGACTCGTTCAAGGCTCGAAAGGCCCGTATGATTACCCAGACTGAGAATTTTTTTCGGGCTACGGATAAATCACTGCTGTACAGAGACGGGCTGGAGATTGGGACGAAACAAGGCTGCGGGTTTGATCATAAGCTGCATTGCACACATTTCACAATTGAAAGCTTTTTTTCCATTTGTTTGTTTCTGACGGGCGAGTATGTTCAAGATTTCACAAAGATTTCAGATAAAGGACAGTAAAAAATTGATCCGAGCTCCCTACATGGATTGGCATTAACAACTTCCACATAAGATTCACCAATGAATATCAAATTTACCATCAAATCGTATATCTTGGTAATGAACAGGCCCAATTGGTTTATTCATAGCTTCTTCCTCTTCTTTCTCCCATTCTTGCCTGGCGAGGTCTCTCCTCATGTCTTCGGATAAAAGTGTCGGGGGACTAGAAGTAAAGACAAATGTTGGTACAAGTGTAAGTACCACATTTATACGTTAATAGCGGCAAGTTAATAATAATAATAATAATAATGATGTTTAATTCTTCTATAGCGCCTTTTACATGTACATATGATCAAAAGCGCTTTACAAAATACAAAATCACCTATAGTATAATAAATTACATAATTAAATAAAAAAGTATCTAAACTAACTAAACTATTTACATTATAATTACACGAGACTAATTAGAGAAAAGTGAAATATGCTATTCTGAATAAATGGGTTTTTAGCATGGTCTTGAACGTGGCTATATTAGTCTGGTCTCTTATCTCTCTTGGCAGTCCATTCCAAGTTCTTGGGGCAGATGCTTTGAACGATCGGTCACCCAATGTAACTTTAAACCGACAACTAGGATCTTCAAGTGTCAGAGCATTAGACGCCGACCGTAAAGAGTACCTGCTATTTTCCTTGATAAACGATAAGTTACTCAAATACTGTGGCGTTTTAAAATGAATTGCCTTGAAAGTCAATAAGCCTATTTTATACTGTATCCTTTATTCAACATGAAGCCAGTGCAGCTTGAACAAAACCGGCAGTATGTGATCGAATTTAGGCTTGAAAGCAATTAAACGCGTTGCTGTATTGTTAAGAAGTTGTAGCTTAGACAGATGTCCAGCGGGTACATTATATAATAGGCCGTTGCAGTTGTACAATTGCCGCGCATTAGAGCGACGCCGTAAGATTGGTTGCAGTTTAGCGGAAACTGCAAACGCGGTGTGCGCAAGCTGGTGTTTAGGCGGGAAACCGCATATTAAGAGGGGGCCTGGTAGGAACGGCAGACCTAAAATACGGTGCGGGAGCCTTAAGGAAGAGTATATGCCCAAGCAAGGGTTTCCGCTGGAGGCAAGCACTTTATAGCATGTGTTTTGGTGGGAATTACGCGTGTGGCGTGAACGAGATGGTTTTGGCGGGAACACAAGTTACGCTGCAGCTAGAGAAAACTTTCAAGAGAAACACAAATACAACAGTCTACGAGTGAGACTTTGATACTAACCCCTTTGGAGCATTCATATCGTTCATATCTTTATCCATTTCTTGTAGATGTTTCAGATCTTTATGCAAACACCTCCATTCCCTGCCCAGTGAATCGACATAATCAACCCTGAAAACCAATGAATATAACATTCACATGAGCAAACTTTGTACAACAAAATGGGAATCACTCATTTGAGTGGTCCGGCTTTTAGCGACTGTTCAAGTGATGACAACACAAACAGGCCGTTAGAACCCAGACAGGGGTTACCACGACCGCCTAATTAATCGAGGTACAACAATTACAGTAATTGAGGGGAAAAAAATGTTTGAGACCATAACAACTGACCACTTGGTAAAGGGTGACTGATCAATATGGTGTTGCTTCATACAGTTTCGACTGTAGTGCACTATCTGCATTAACAATGCATTGAATCAATTGGCTTTACTTCCAATAGGTGGCTTTTTCGTTCCACTGTTCTTTTGTTAGTAGATGTAAATGATTTTAGAGTAAGATTAAATACAAAAGCAAGTTATGACGAACCATTCCTCTTCAGGACCTGAGGGGGGTGGTATATCTTCATCTTTCAGTTCCTCTAAATCCTGGTGACACTCTTCATCCTTTGAAACAAAACAAACAACCAAGTTGTAAATAAACCTCTACATATCATATGTAGTCTGAATGGATGTACATTCTTTTCCTTTTAACCTTTTCATTAAAACCATTCGAATTGCATGCAACACAGGATAAACTATTAAAGCTTTTTTTTTAAATGTGCCGCAAATCTTGCCTAATGTATTAAAACCAAGATGTGATGTTGAGGATGATTGCCAATGTAAGTGTCATTTATAAGGTAAAAGGTTGGTTGCAATGTTTCAATTACGAAAAAAAAAAAAAAAAGAAAAAGAATTTGATTCCCACTATACCTTTGAGTAAACTTTTTTGTGGAAGTCCACCAAGAATCTTCCTCCTTCCTCATCATCATCTTCATCTTAAAAGAAAAAAGGTAAAAAACAAAAACTACAAAATGAGGATAGCATAAATGTAAATAGCCATATGACAAAACACTTAAACACATCTTGTTCACATGCAGTAACAATATTTATTACACGACTCGGGAAGTCAGAGGGCCAATAACTAAAATCAACCAATCAAAATGCTCTATTGCCGGTCAATATTCTCTATTCTCTCAGTATTGGACCAGGCACTGTCCCAAATGGTCCGGAATGATACTGCACTTGTGTCCCTTTGAACTTCAGTCATATAATAAATCTCTTATTAACCAAGCTTGCTCAGGACCGTACTGGAAGAATATCGGCCTTCGGTCTTTTTTGTATGGACATCGCTGCGCTCGGTCCGTACTGTCAAGACCTCGGGCCGATATTCTCCCAGTACGACCCTCGCACTTGGTTAATAAGATATATATCTAATTTTTCCCCACAACACCACCCCTGAATCAAATATAAAGATCATGAGAATATAGAAGCTCTTGATTGTTGAACAAATTCTCCTTGTCAGCATCATAGGAAATGTATAGAGGACAGTATGGAGAATATACATACTGAGGTTAGAGTGTAAAGGGTTAAGACAAGTCAGCTTATGTCCCTTGTGCCACATTTGTTGTTTTCCACTCAGACCTTTAAAATAACATTGTGGAGTTGTACTGCAACAATGACCATAACTGCTCATTATCTAGTGTCTCCTATTTATTTTGATGAAAGCATGAAGCTATTTGCTTTTTAGCTAAAATCATCTTGTCATTGTACAGGTGTGAAACTATCATTTCTTAACATACCTGTACACCAGTAGAGCTCAATGGTTGGATTTCAAATCCTGTGGGTGAAGCTGCAAAGAATAAATCTACATTTGTTAAGGTTCATTTTACAAGCTACAGTTGTATAGACTACTCTCATGTTCTTAAAAAAGTAGCTAAACTGGAGGGGAATAGTAACACAGTTAATTCCTTAAGGAAATAAGAATAACTTAATGTCGTTTTCTACTCTGGTGGAAACTTTTTGCCCAGGTCTGAAATCTGGCTAGTATACATTAACATTAAATGGGGAATTGGAACACAAGAACATAGAAGAGTTACACTGTGAATTTTTTGTGATTGTAATTAATCATAAAATGCACAAGCAGTTTATGCAGTTTTTTTGCAATTATTTTAATTAAACAAATCACCTTCAGACAATATTTTTTAAGCTCTGAGTAAACATTACTAAAAACGCTTTCCTATAATTTTAATTTTATTTCTTTTCCTCTTCAGTGCTCATTAGTATAACAAAGATGAACCAAATGAATATGAAAGCAATCTTTGCAGTAATAAAGGTGAATCAAGGACAATTTTTCTTAATTGAAGTGTTTTCAAAATTCAAAATATGTCTTAAATCTTAGAGGCTA